CCTCACCTTCTCTGGTTGGCTCTCTAGGGCTGACCAGAAGACCTGGCATCCCAGTAAGAAAGGGTCCATCCCTGGAGCTGCCCTAAGCAAGGACCACTAAAGACATCTACTCACAAAAGGAAAAGTCACTGCACAGTCATTCCTCTGTCCAGACTACTTGTAGGATCCTAAGGCACTAGAACCTTCCAGACAACTTCCTGGCCACCATGGAGGCCAGCCTTGTGATCCGGGATCCTCCCCGCTGTGTTATTTGAGATGCTTTCTTCCTGACAGCATCAGGCCAGGTGCCCTGAGCACTGGTGGCCAAGAACAGGCTTCAAAAGGCTAAGTGGAAGGCGACCATCTTCAAAGGGCTCTCAGACTTCTCAGAAAGCTCTGGCACACAGCCCTGACCTCAGGTCAGTTTCCTGCAAATGAACTTGTGATAGCTCCATGAGGACAGGCCCCATGTCTGTCTGATTCATCACTGTATCCCTGATAACCCCTAGCACAAGGATGGTATACAGCTGCTGTTCAATTGGTTGAATTCATGTATAATGGCCTCTACCAAGGAAGGAACAAAAGCACAGTAGAAAAAGCCCAGGCTGTGGAGGCAGACAGACCTGGATTTGAAACCTTCCAGCTATACCATTCATATTGGCCTCGTGCAGGTCACTTTATCCCCTCTCAGCCTCAGTTTTCTCAACTGTATAGTGAAGATCCTAACACCAGCCTCAAAGCACTGTTATAAGCATTAGATGGAAATTATATGCAAAGCCTTTAGCATAGAATTTCATCAACACTTATATAGCTTTCACTGTATGCCAGATGCCGCTCAAACATTGAGAGGGGAGGTCCCCAGATCATAACTGGTTCATTAAATTCAAGCAGCAGTCCTACAAAGATCTGTTTAGTACTCTAAAGTTGAGGAAACTGAGACACAGAGAGGTAAGAGAACTTGCCCAAAGTTTAATATCTAGAATTGGGAGGGTCAGGGCTCCTATTAATTATGAAGTTCAAACTGCTATGTGCTATATACTGCGCATCAATAGCAAGTAATCAGTGAAGGTCAGTCCCCGTCCCTATCCTATTTGATAATGGGGTATAACTGACAGGTTTTCAGTTGCAAAAAAAAAAATCTATGCAGGTGTTTTCATGATTCACTGTTTGTTTCGGTTTAAGCTATGGCCTGCTCATCTGAAATCCAATTTCGGACAAGTTTGTTGATCAAAAACTTCCCTCTCATCTTGCCATCCTGCTATCTCCTGCCCACAACCTGCCAGAAAAAGAAACACACAACTATGTAAAAATAAGATAAATGAAAAGGAAAGACAGACAAAAACAGAGAAAGAGAGGGCAACCACAGAAGTAGGGATGCATGCCCTTAGGAACAAAGTCAGAAGAGGTCGTAGCAGAAGGCAGAAGCAGTCTACCCACATGGAGATCAACTACATAAAACCCCAGCTCTCTGAAGCCCAAGGTAGCAGAAAAAGAATTAAGTCATCTCCCCCAATGGCTAAAACTTCATCACCAAGAGTTTTCCTTTATTTTCTCCTTTATAAGATTGCACTGCCCTGCTGCCAACCATGAAGGAAATTTCATTACCAAAATAAATCACTTGACCTTGTTTCTCCAATGGCTCAGGATCAGTGACATCACAAAGCACTCTACAAATGCTCAGAAATACTGGAATAACCCCTTCAAGTAAAAAATTCTTGGTATTTCACTAAAAGACTAAATCATTTTTATTTTACTGCACAGAATCCAAAATGCTTTCAATGTTTTCATTTTCAAAACCCTTAGAGAAAAAGCATGCTCTTTAAGACCGCAGGAAACCCCAACTCCTGGTCTGGTTTGTGTCCTGATTCATGTATGAAAAGATGGGGAACAGGCCAGAAGCCAAGGAACGGTAGCTGTGGCCCCACATTGCTCACATGACTCAATCCCCGAGGGGCTGGGGCCTCATGGAGGCTCCCAAGTCAACTTCTCTCATCCTCAAAGTCATAGGCAGTTCAGAGGCAGCTCCCAGACAACTGAGGCAGTCCTTTTAAGAGGTTCAGTACCCATCTCCCACAGTCCTGTTAACTGCCATGTTTCCCTTCCAAAGCATGAAGGAGCATGACAGGGATTTGAGTGGGGATGTCTTCTCAAAGCATCTGCCTGGAGCTGTTGGTGGCTGCAAAACAAGTGCAGCAAACGCATCTCCCGCACCCCAATCAGGATACACCACCCTATAGCCTGTGTGCTCCACTTGTTAAAAAACCCATAACCAATAAGATTGCTCCTCTCAAATGAGTTATAATTCCTAATGTTGACTGTTCAAAAGGATTGCCCCAGTTTAAATTGTCAGCCACCAACACAGTCACTAAATGTATTAACTGAGTTAAAGAAAACATAATCCATACATCAAGAGCATGAGTACTCAGGAAGCACTCAGAACTTGAGTTACCTGGGGCACTGAAGACAGGTTCCCACACAACACCACATTTATGAATAACTGATCACCTCGTTCAATGACTAGTCATAAAGTCACAGCATCATAAAATGGAAAAGTCCAAAGGACCCGTGGACATCACTGACTAACCATCTCTTTTCCAGAGGAGAAAACTGAGACCAGGACGAAGGGCAAAAACTATTTTTTTTTTCTTTTTCTTTTTTCCAAACTCAGAAGTTCTTACTAAAGATTCACTATTAATAGAACTACTCAAATCCATAACTACTCACTATGTTTCTTCCTAGTCTACTGCCTCTAAGACTCAATTACCAACAAGAGCTCTTACACAATTATTTTCATATAAAAATATTTTTATGACTGAGTTATAGTCAAAGTGGTTAAATCTAAAAGAGCTGCTATCTAAAAAGTAAAATGGAGTTGACAAAAAATTAACCTTTTCTCTGAATTATATTCTTAGCCCTGAGAACTTATTTCTGAAGGGACAGTACATTTTCCAATGTTTCTTGTAAAAAATGAAGTAGGGTAGTTATGCCCAACCAGAATTTCCAATAATATGCCATTATTTTAGATTAAAACCATTTCTGGGTAAACAAATGGGAGCAGTACAAGATAGTGTCCTAAAGCTACCCTTCACTGCGAGTAATAAAATCATCTTCAAAGAAGGTTCGAATATTAAAGTGCTTTTCTCCGTCTTTGAGAGAGAGGAGGAGCTAGGTGGGTACAGTGGCTCCTGCCTGTAATCCCAGCACTTTGGAAGGCCAAGGAAGGAGGATTGTTTGAGCCCAGAAGTGTGAGATCAGCCCGGCGCACAACATAACAAGGCCTCATCTCTACAAAAAATTTTTAAAACTAGTCAGGCATGGTGGCACATACTTGTAATCCTAGCTACTCGGGAGGCTGAGGCAGAAGGATCTCCTGAGCCCAGGAGTTCGAGGTCGGAATGAGTCGTGATCATGCCACATTGCACTCCAGCCTGGGACAGCGTGAGGCCCTCAACTCAAAAAATAAAATAAAATAAAAAATAAAAAGAGGGATAAGAGCTGCATTTCATACTTGCATTCAGGTATGAAAATAAGACATTCAAAGCCAATAACCGGGGCTGAGGAAGAGGAGCCCAGGAAAGACACTAACACACAGAAGATGGAGGGCCCTGAAACTTTCTCTCCACAGCAGCTGAGATGGCTCACCCTGAGTCCATTTCACCCGACACGAAGAAGCTTCTTTGACTACTAAGGATATCATGAAGAATAAAAAATACCAAAGGTTTGCGCTCGCCCCCTCCCCTGTGTGAGGCAGGCTGACAGACTCCACTGCTGCGGAAAGCAAAATTTTCCTTGTTTCCATTACATCATCCAAGTTGGAGACGGGGAGGGCGGGGCAGGGACACAGCTGGTGGCAGCTGCACCACCATCTGCTTTCTCCTCAGCCGTGTGAGCTAGTTGGAGAGCTAGTTGGAGCCACAGCTTCCTACGGCTCCTGACAGAGGAGGCTCAGTATTAAAGGTACAATACCCTATTATGGAAAAGACTTCAAATTATGTAGAAATAAATCACTCCCGTGATAAGTTAACAACCTCAGGTAGGCTGCTGAGCTGGTTCTCTTTGAGTTTAGCTTATCTGTTTGCGTCTCTTTTGACTCAGCTACAGAGCAAACTCTGTCAACTCAATGTGCCCAATTAGACAAGCAGAATGTAGGAGCAACCACCTGCCATCTGCTTCCCAAAGGTAAGCAGCCAAAAAGCACAGGTCTACAGCTGGAAGCGTTTATGGAGGGGAAGAGGCAATGCCCAAACCCAGCAAGCAAGCCCCAGACAGGCACATGGGCACTCGTGACTGGCTGCCTTGGGCATCCTGACCCATCTGGTTAACAGGTCTTGCCCTCCTCGGGACCCTTGGTGTTTCCTTCAGAACACCCTGCAAGGCATCCCCCGGAAGGAAGATGGTGGGAATGGGGTTGGGGGGCTAAGTCCTTGTCTGACCATTCAACTGCAAACTGGCAGCAAACCAGTAGTTCAGGAGCTGATCAAGCCCATGCACATGTTTTATCTGGCCTGTACAGGGCTGTTGTTTTTGTTTGAAGTACTGGCTTTTGTAAAAGAGAGTTCATATAAACATCTAGATTGCTGGCTCCTCCTGGGGTGTTTGGCCGGGGGGGGGGGGGGGGGGGATGGAGAAATCAAGAGATTTAGCAGCACCAGGACTTCATTCCCATAGTACCAGTTATCCAGAGTGAAGTGACAGAGTTTCCTTTGGGTCATTCTGAAGAATTTGTCCCCACTATTTGGTGTCTGCATATGGCCCTGCACCTATCTATGTTCTATTGGACCTCGAGAGCTTCTGATGGAATGCCACAGAGCATGGGGAAGAGAAAAAGCCCGGGGAGTGATTTTCAATAGTTCTTTACTGACTCTCCTCTTTAGCTGAGGTTAGACCTTTAGATGACCAAATAAAATTCTACCAAGATCTTTCAACCCAATGAATGGATCTCACTAGAAGACCAGCTACAATCTGTCTCCAATTGGAACAGCAGGTTGTAGTATTTCAAAGAAGCGTCCCAGGCCACTTACCATACATCTTGCCTTCGTCTGATAAGATGATTTTCCTCCTCCCACACGGCGGATAGATAGCCAGGGCCTCCTGAAAGCTCTGCTCAATGTCGGGGCTCCAGACCCCTTCTGCATCATTGTCAATTGGCTTATCTGCAGAGTCACTCATCCTTTCCATGTTTTCGGCAGGACTCTCACTGCCGCTCCAACTGCTGGGCTCAATTTTGGCGGTGGGATTTTCCAAGCCGAAGCCTGGAGTCTTTTCAAGAAAATAAACCTAAAAGAGAAATCACAAAATAGTACGATAAGGACACAGTAACCATCAATATACTACTCCTGCTAGTTCAGTTGCAAATTATTCAATTGCCAGCTTTGCTTAGAGAATAACGCCTAGTGGAAAACATGGAATTCTGAAATCCAAGTGGTTTTTGTTCTTTATGTATGATGCTAAACACCCAACACCCCTACAGAAATGCAATGGCAGGCAGAAGCTGGATCATCTTCACAGACAAGAGGAAATTCTCATCCAAAAATAGTGTTCACTCAGAGTTGCAAGTTTACAGTGATTCATACAAAAACCACTTGCTAGGTGCCTACTACCAACCAGGGACACTTTTACTCAATGATAATCAAATCTCCAGAGCAGAACAAGTTGTTTGTAAGAAAATAAAGTAAAATTTTTTAAAATGTCTGCTTCACTGTGCAACTGGCATCATAACTCTGAAATGTCAAACCACCCCAATATGAAATCACCAAGATGCAAGGGTGGCAGGATCAAGGAAAGAAGGAGAACAATTATTCTGATATCACAAATATGCTACAGAGACAGCAATGCCAACTGCCCTGGATGTACAACATTTATCAGGTCACTTTTATACTCTCAGCTCCTAGATTGTCACCTTAAAGCAGGAACTATGTTGTCCCCATCCCTGTCCTTCCCGTAGGGCCCACGACAGATGCCTAGCACACATCTACATGGGATGCTTCATCTGTAGCCTACTCTGAATCCCTGATCACATGAAAACTGTGAGGGAGTCTTGCATTTATTTTTCTATAGCACTGAAGATCACAGAACCAAAAGAACTATTTCTCAAAGATTTACTCTCCTTAAATTATGCATGTAACCTATGGTCATAAAGGGATAAGCTTTCCAAACAAATGTCAAACTGGCATAACACCAATGTGAAAATGATCTAATCCAGTACTCCCTGCTGTTTGGCACACTAACATATCAATATTCCTTTGTTGAAAAGGCATCAGATCACTAATTCAAAGGACTCCCAAAAAAAGCGGGGAAAAGAATTACACCCAGAGATTGATTGAAAAGAGGAAGCCTAGGGCCTCAGCAGGGAAGGCCTTGTGCTACCAGGGTTCCTCCCCTAACTGCCCCCTCAGGCCTATGCAATACGACAGCAGAAGCACCCGTGTGGGCAGCAGGTGCTGGTAAGGTATCCATGTGGGAAGCAGGTGCTGGTGGCCACACCCAGCACCAGGGACTGCCCTGTGCTCCAGAGCTGTCACCTGAGAACAAGCAACCTGTCTTCTCTCCATCTCTCTCCTAACTGTAGCCCATTCCCCTGTGCTCCCCACCTGTGTATATCAACATTTCCCAGGTGCAGAAACTCAGAGGCACACGGATATCACGCAATTAATGATATAACTTGTGGGTCCTTTCAACTTCTTACAGCTTTGTAGACTTGGCAGCACCTGGATTTTAAAAACTAAAATAAAATAAAGGCCAGGCTCAGTGGCTCAGCCTGTAATCCCAACACTTTGGGAGGCTGAGGTGAGTGGATTGCCTGAGCCCGTGGGTTCGCGACCAGCCCAGGCAACTTGGCAAGACCTCAGCTCTACAATAAATCAAAAAGTCCCCGGGCATGGTAGTGTGCACCTGTAGTTCTGGCTACCTGGAAGGCTGAGGCGGGAGGATCACTGGAGCCCAGCAGTTCAACACTGGGGTGGCCATAAGTGTGCCACTGCACTCCAGCCTAGGTGACAGAGTGGGACTCCAACTCAAAAACAAACAGACAAAAAAAAAAAAAAAAACAGACAACAAATCCTCGGGTTGTCTGCCTTTAAATGTTACCATCAAGTCACCATTCAAAGAACTTGTCAGCAAAATATTTACTACCTCTTACCAACATATGTACATTTACATGGGACCTTTTAAATCACCAAATGTTCAGGTATAAATTATGCCACAAGAAAGGGTTTGGTGATTGACACCCCAGATGAACTCTATGATGCCTCCAGCATGGGCCTTTTGAACTCTTAACAATTACCACTTCTGTTGGAATCTAAGGGTCTTATGAAATTTTGAACTAAACTGTACTCTATAGAGTCTGTTCCAGCTCCAAAGAGGTTCCCTGGAGACACTATGCAAATAAGAGTGAACTCTTCAAGTATGGCTAGCCCATCTCTCTCTCCACCCTCCCTCCCAAACAAAACAAAAAACAAAAATGAAACAAAACAACTCACACATACAGAACCACCAGTCAGTCCTGGAGCTCCAAGGAGTTCACAGCAGTATGAATTCACTCCGAAGAGCCATACTTTAAGATAAATACAAGGTATGCCTGGTACTCAACCAGGAGAGCAGAGAGGTGGGATCTAGAACCAAGAGGTATCTCAGAAGCGACTGGGGACCTCTGTTTGCCTAAAAAGAAGATTACCATATAACTGCAAGCCTCGGAGTCTCCAGACCAAAACATCCAACCACCCACATTCGATGCTTGAGGTCGCCATAAAAACTTCTCCACTAGGCATGCAATCTACCCTTGAAAACCACCAGTAGCAGGAAACTCGCTGCCTCCTTCGTACTGCCTACCTTCACAGTGACATGTTGAAATTCTTACATCTATTTGGGCTAAAATCCATCTCCTGGTGAACGTCTACCCACCCATTTCTTGAGGGTCTTATCCCATCCCTTGGGGGAGCAAATATCTTCCAAGACACCCACTTAGGCATGACAGGAGCAGCCCCGAGGATCCTGATTATCTCCCAGACTAGACACCATCATCCCTCTGCCCACCCCTCATGAATGCACCTCAGTTCCTCAACAGTCCTCAATAAATAACACTCAGAGGTAGACTTATTTTCCACTAAATAGTTAAGCTTCCACCCCTCAGGTGCAGGTCCTGAATTCTGTCTTTTGTACAATGGGTTTCAGAGCTAAGAGGAGGAGTTTCTGTTTATCTCTATTAGTTCTATTTTTTTAGCCTTAGCCCATGGCCCAAAGCTGGCAAGATCCTTCTGAATCATAACTGCCAAGCTTATATCCTTAATCACTGAACAACCTTTGAAGAGCTGTCTGTCACATGGGGGAGGGTATAGACTTACTGCGTGGAAGTTCTGAAGACTATTCTGACTCAACATAAAAATCTTTCTGCTAGTTGAACTACTGCACAAGGGGCAGACTGCAGAAGACAGGCAGCAGAGTCTTGTAGACAGTCCTTTCAAGTTACTTCTAAAGCTATGAATCCAAGTCCTCGGTTGCATGGGGAACATAACATTAGCCAACATAACGGATCTATCCACTTGGTAAGTACGGGCATAGTTCTAAATGCTCACGTGTTTGTATTCATTTACTGCAAAAGGAAAGACTCTGGGTCCAGGCTCTTGCAATTTGGTCAACTAGAGCTCAGCAGGATGGAATTACCTTCTCTGAACATGGGCCAGAACACAGCCCCAGAAACTATCAGATACAGAATCCACAGAGTTATACAGGCCTTTAGTTTTACAACCGATTGTAAGATGAGGCCCTGTATGGGCAGAGAGTTTCCGATCACAAGGCTGGAGCTGGCTGGGGAAAGCTCCCCGTGCTGGATACCAAAATATCCATTCTGGCTCCCCATCCCTTAGGTTCCTTTCAGCCCAGCTCAAAATCCACCTCACGCTGGAAACCACCCTTGTATCGGGTGGCTCTGAAAGTATCAGCCACACTTTAGGAGTATTCTAATATTGTCTAGAGTTGCTTAACTATCACTCAATCTGCCTCGATTCTGAATGTATAGCAATAAGCCCCGATTATAATCAACATTAAGATCTAAACAATTGAATTATGCACAGAATGTCTGTACCTGCAGAGCTGATATCTTCACTCCCTGCACATCCTTTAAGCAAGGGAGCCAGCTTTCACTCAACTCAGCAAATGAAGAACACAGAACTAGGGGGAGAGTGTGGGAAGGGGGATTGTATAAAGAGTCCGTTGGATCTAGGTTCCAAATCTGCTCACCTATCAGCCATGCTGCTCAAACTAAATTCATCTCTCACAAGCTCAGGTTTTCATTTGTCAAATGGAGATAATACATTCAATCCCATATAGAAAAATCACTAAGGAGTAGAGGGTAGCCATAAAGATTTAGTAAGATCATGGGCAAAGGCACTCTGCCATCTGTAAGACCATGTTCATTTATGTTCAAGTCCATTCTCTTCAGACAATGGTATGAATCCTGTGGTGGAACGGTGAAGAATGAGGACACCTCCTCTAATGGTTTGTTTTGGGAAATCAATTTACTAAGGATCCTCCTCTTTAAGGTCTTCAGGTGACTGAATGAGAAATTTAAATTGGTGACGAACACTTTTATTTCTAACACTCATCTTAATCTGGGCTTATTCACGGGACCGATAGCTTTCAGACTCTATGGGCAGTGTGGTCTGGGGAAATAGCCCTTTCTACAGAATGCCTATAAGAGCAGGGAAAAAAGCCTTGTTTGTTAAAAATACATTTTTTAAAATGTGTATGTGGCCCCCCATGTGCCACAGTTTCCATCATAAATGCTTTTCTGAAAGATTCTTTTTTCCTGAAAATCTCCCTACCCACATAACAATAAACTCCAAAAAACAACTTTTCCCATTGATCTAAGCATCCTGTTAACTGCCCCAATAGCCACATTCCCTATGGATCATTCTTTCACAATAACCTACTGACACTTCAAAAAGAGCCACATGAGTACAGAGAACTACCATGTGTGCATTCATCCAATACACATTTTATTACACAGGCCCGGAAGAGAAGGGTAAGACAGTCAAATGTAGGTGCTTCTGACATAAACTCCATTCAATGAGGGATGAGATAGGACACAGGAATCTGCTACATTTTTCATCTTAATTCCTCTGGGTCCATCATAATGTAAGCTTCTCACCTAGTTCCAGGTTAAATTAAATAAAGGGTTAATTTTAACTAACTCTCATGATTAGTGAGATGCCATTGAACAT